TATATGCTGAGGTGTGATTTTCATTAAATGAGCCAGTGAATATAGGAAAATGAACAATGTTGGTTAATGGTATGTGAGTTGATGTCATTTTTGTTTAGGACATCAAAAGCTTCTAGTATTTCAGACTTTTGGATGGTGATGTCAAGTCACATAAACATCTTTGTGTTTAAGAATACAGATTTGAGCCCATATCTCAGCTCTGCTATAATACTTTCTAGGCTTTATTTTGTTCTCTTTCCTTTTATTGTTATCAGGCTAACACCCCACCCTGAAACTCTTTGTTACTTAGAAGCCTCAAGCTGACCTTAGGCTGATCTCTATCAGGAGAGCTGTCCTGAGAATTGAGGCGCTTTGGGTTTGGGACAGGTGTATATAACCATTGGGTGCTACTAAGATGCTCAACATGATCCAGTACAGTGCAGGAATGCATCCTGTGAGCAACATTCATTCAGTTCCTTTCATTTGGGGTGTGTGCAGAGCTTCTCATCAGTTTTTCAAAGGGATTTGTGACTCCCCAAAGGGTAAACATTGGTAGAGAGGGTACTGAACACTGTGAGGCATCACAGAGTTACAGAGAGCATGAGTGCCTCTTTGTGCTGCTTTCTAAGACTGCTAGTGAAGGAGAGAAGGATGACAAGAAGCAAGGCTCTACTAAGAAGAGAATGAAAACAGGACCCCTTTTACTCCGTTTCCAGCAAGCAAGTTTTGCTTTCTAGTCATTGTTCATAAGAGCCACGAGATGGCGCGCTTGTCCCTCACAGTGAAAATAAGTGGAAGGTGTGTGTGTAGGGAGGCAGGAAGAAAGGGAGAGGGAGAAGGAGAAGGAAAGGGAGACAGAAAGAGAGACACAACGACAGAGACTGAGAGACAGACAAAGAGACAGAGAGACAGAGGACAGGAGGGAGAGAACAGTGTGCTTCTGCATTTCTGCAGCCCCCTCAATTTCAACAGAAAGAATTGGTAGGTTTTTTTGATAGCTGTTTTGAAACTGTAGAGATGAAAGTAAAACAAAAACCGCAACTGTTTGGATCTCATACCCAGATATTAATTGAATTTTTCAGTAGATAATTCCAGTTTTCACATTACCAACAGAGAAATCTAATTGTTAATACTATTGTCAAAACTGTTGGTATTATTAATAGCATTTAAATAGTTAAGTATTAGGTGAAAAGACAATAATTTTTTTTTTTTTTTTGCTCTCAAACACATATAGACACATATACACATGTATATTGCTATTTTTGTTTGTTTTCTGAGACAGAGTTTCTCTATGTAGCCTGGGTTGTTCAGGAACTCACTTGTACACCAGGCTAGACTCAAGCTCACAGACAGTGGCCTACCTCTGCCTCCCAAATGCTGGGGTGAAAGATGTGCACCGCCCCACCCAGCTTTACTACATTATGGTATTGCTACCACTTTTTTTATGTATATCGAGCAAGTGCTAAGTTCCAACTATAAAAAATCTTCCATCCTTTATGGATGTTAGACAACTTAATTTCAATACTTAGGACTTCTAGTCTCAATACTTTGACATACTTCAAAGTAGCCTTTCTTATGGTCTTCTCGATACCGTATGGAAGAATGTAAGCTAATGTGTTATTGGTGTGTTGACAAGTAGGTTTTTATTGGTTAATGTATATTTAATGCTCAGTGTAAAATTCACTTTGCTTATGCTGTGCAGTCAAGTTGAATTTTCACAGTAAACGTGTGAGATAAATGTTAGTATTGAAGCTATCATTGAAGCTCAGGGAAATTAAGTGAATTGTTGAAGATTTAATAGTTTTTGGCAGAGCCATAATTGAATGTGGATTTTTTTTCAACTCCAAAGTTTACTCTCTTTTTAATTGTACCTTCTGTCTCCAATGAAACTATCTACATATTTCTTCACTAGAGAGAGTAGGAAGTTTGAATTTAAAGTTTATGGTATTTGTGCTTCACTCATGTTATGAAATGAACAAAAGAGAGAATTTATATCACAAGGCAGCCGTGTGATACACTTATTTAGTAAGCTGTTTGATTTCCTCCTGAGCACATTTCTCTGCAAGCTCCTCTAGAAGATTCCTTTAGAGTTGTGCTGATGAATAGAGGCCTTAGTTTGTCTCACTTGAAGGATTTGGACTTCTTGCTAGATGCACATATTGATTTTCCTAAAGTTGAGCTCACTGAAACCTCATCCTCCGCGTGATTCCTGTTGAGCCTACAAGTGATTTACCAATCACAGTGTTCCTTCTGTGTGCCAGAAGCGTTGCTTTGCTCCAGGGTGCTGTTCCACGCTGGGAATGATCTGTGGCTTGGAAAACATTGCAGTGAGGACTGCAAGTCTGGTCTAGCACCACTAGATGCACTGAAATCCACTCGCCAAAGCTTGGAGGAACTTTCCAGATTTCTGCATGGCGACTGCTGACTTCACTTTTTTTTAATTGTTGTTTTTCATTATGGATAAAGTTTATTCAATACATAATTCAAGAATAGATTTGTATGCTGAGAAATTCTGTGACTAAAGTGAGTTTTCTTTTATCATCAAGATGATGTAAACAGGGGAATTAAGACTACAAATGTACTGAATACAGTTAAAACATTAGCTTCTTTTCTTCTGGAAGGACCCCTCAATTCCATTTGAATAAATATCTTTTCCATTTTTCCTCATAATGGAATTTTGTGGGAAGTTAATAAAAATAAATAATTGTTTCTCATCTTCATCCTAGCATTGAATTCTTTTATTGTTATGATCTCTCCATAGTCCATTTTTGTCTATTTTAAAGCTTTAAGGAATAATAGTTTAGAAATTATATGTGTTGTTTTTGAAATCAAGAAAAAACAACTTTTTACCTGAATCAGGACATTCAAGTTTTTCTTTTAAATCATATTTTTTTTATACAATAGTTGTAACTGGAAGGTAAATATATTGGAAAGATTGTCTGTAAGTAAGTGATAATTGAAATTAAATGATAGGCTTATTACAAATTTGTTCTATTTTGTTTGAAAATTTGCATAACAAAATACAAAGGACATATGACACATTTCTGTCACTGGTTATGAGGGATATCATCAACCAAGCCCGTTGGTACCTACCTGTTATCCTGGCAAATGGGAGAGTTTAGACTGGAATTCTGAGAGCTCAAGATGGGGCTATAAAATAAGTTGTTGTCTCAAGATCCAGAAAAACAAACAAGAGACAAATATCTTTTAATCTTTAATTATTTTAATAATATCTTCATATTACCATCATGTTTTTTTTTTTCTTTCTTTCTTGTCTTTTCTAAGATAGGATTTCTCTGACCTTGGCTGTCCTGGACTTGCTTTGTAGACCAAGTGGCCTCGAACTCACAGAGATCCACTGACCTCTGCCTCCCAGAGTGCTGGGATTATACGTGTGTGCTACTGCTCCTTACTTTATCCATGTTTCAAGTGAGGATTTTTATATGCTTTTGTGCTAACAGAGACCATTTTTGCTAGCAAGTATGGCTGAGTAGATTAACTGATGATTAAACCATATAACTTCTTTGACTTCTTCATTCAGTTTATGGATTGATCTTGAAAAACATGATAATTTTTGAGTAACAAGTATTTATTCCTCCATTAAGTGTCATCAAACATGATACTAGAGGCTGAGGAAAGAGCTGTCACTCAAACAGAAAACATTCACAGAGGTTACATTTCAGCATGGAGGAGAGAACTGCAAGCAGTAAACAACTATATTACACTTCTTTGAGGTTGAAAGTGCTATGAACACAAATTGCATAAAGGAAATTGAAAATGGGATGTAAGCTGCTTTCTACAAAGGGCCATTAAGGAAGTCTTTTTTGCTGAGGAAACATTTAAGTAGAGGACTGGAGGGAAGGAAGGATTGAAACGGCATGCCTCCCCAGTGTCTGGTGAAACTAGTCCCCCAGGAGACCCTTTCTACGTACTTATTAAGCAGAGCATATAAATACAGATGTCAGCAAAGCTCGTCATGTGTTCACTCTCTGGGTCGTAAATGGGATTTGGAGATGGAATCCTACAGCTGATAGAACCTTTAGGATTAAACAATGAGTACCAAGAGAGAAAAAGAGTAAAAGAAAGATTACTCATGTTCTCTTGATTTTTGTCTTTCCTTTCTAACAAAAAAAGTCAGAAAGAAAAATATGTAGCACCTAAAGAGACACTGATACGTCATGAAGTTGTTTGATATATGGCTGCTGTTTTTTGACACAGGGTCTAGCTATGTAGTTCAGGCTAACCCCAAACTCTGGGTCCTTCTTTAGCCCCCTGAGTGCTCAGATTACAGGTACACAAGCACCAGCATTCCTAAAGTATGTCCAGTTTTAAAGTCTGTCACTTACGATTTGCTTCCTTAGTTGAGAGCTATGCGGACCTATTCTAGCAAATACATTTTGCTTCACTTTGTGAACTGTCATGGAAGAAGAGCAGGTAGTGTGTAGTGAGGCCTTGGAGCTGACATAAAGAATTGGTTGGAGGCCTAAGGAGAGAGAGAGCATACCCCATGTAAAGCGGGGAGCTGTTCAACTTGGCTTGCTTCCAGGGGAGGATAGGGGCTAACAGTGTGTTTGTGTCTTCTCGAGACAAGGTTTCTCTGTGTAGCCTTGGCTGTCTCGGCACTCACTCTGTAGACCAGGCTGGCCTTAAACTCAGATGCACCTGTCTCTGCCTCCTGAGTGCTGGGATTAAAGGCATGTGTTCCAGCCATGCCCGGTTTATTTTCTGACTTTTAAAGAGAAGCTAGAAATTATGTCTTATATGCTATCTTAAAAAAATTGTTGCCAACTAAATAAAATCATTCCAGAATATTCCAAAGGCCAAACAAAACACTCCTGAGGGTAGAATGAGGCCAGCAGTTGAGCAGGTTTTTGTGTTCCATAATATACAGTTAATGCTTACTGCCTCTGTCAAGGGGTCATACTGATCAGATAGGAAAAGTGCTGCAGTTTCTTGAGATGAATGGATCTAGCACACTCTCAATGCCATGTGACACTGAATGCCTATTCTTCTTGTTGCAGGATATGGCCAGACAGGGCCCATGTCTCAGAGAGCAGGTTATGATGCTATCGCCTCTGCTATGTCTGGTCTAATGCACATCACAGGGCCCGAGGTAGGTATTCTTAGAAACTGGGGATACAGAAAGAGTTATTAAACTACAACAGAAGTGTGGTTGTTATAAAGGAACTGAAAGCTAAAGTCAATATGACTTCACTGAAAAGAACAGTCTTTTCTTTTTAATATCTTGCAATGAACTTCGTTTCATTATTCAGGAATAATCACCTTGGTGTGACTTAGAAATTTTCTTCCATGGAGAAGAATGACTGACTTGATATCCATTTCTGCCTACATTTAGTAAATATACAGAGAAGACAATTTTTTCATGTAGAGTATTTTAAGTAGTCATGTACTTGAAATTTTGTAATTTAAAGTGACAGATATAATTTGTCTGCCTTGCCATATATACTACAGTTGAATTATTTAATGCTATAGTCCTCCATTGATAGTGTTTTTCAGGATTTCTAAAAGAATATAGCTGTTCAGAGTGTGTTTGGTTAGATCAAAGGAAAGACTTTTGGGGAAAATATGAACATTATTAACGGTAAAACAAAAGCATAATATGAAAGCCTAGTAGATAAAACTAAAGTATGTCTATTTCAAGACAAACAGGGTTGGTATGCTTGAAAATCTTTTACAGCAGGTGTTTCTCCCTTAGTTACTTTTCTTTAGTTAATTCTAGGCAGATCACTGCAGTGTTCAGATAAACTGAGGCAGAGTGACCTATTTTAAAATCTTATATTTAATTCAAAGCAGCTATGAGGTTTTAACGTCCTAAGATACAAGGCCCTTTGTACTTCTGTCTTCTGATGTTTCATTTTTAGTCACAGAAAGAAAAAAAAATGTATGCAGCCCTTTCTTAAAATAAGGAGGGGACCAATTTTCATTTTGTTCATGGAGAGAGCAGAGCATGGACTTCCTCTCATTTGGTAAAGATGTCATTATTGGGAGTGTTTTTATTTAGAGGAACTGAACTCAGTTGGAAATATGTGAAATTTGGGACCTATCAGTTTTTACTCAAGGGCTAAAAATGAATAAAAAACTACTGAGGTGAAACATTTTTGTGGTTCCGTTGGTGATTCAGTACACTCTTACAGGGGTCCACATAGTACATGTTCAACCTTAGGACTTTCCAAGATTATTTTCTAATTAGTTACAAAGCAACACGTTTCATTGTCACATTCATAACACGTTATTTTAGTTGATTTTTCTCACCTGCTCTTCTCCATCTTACCATCTTTCCCATAAGTATTTACACACACACACACACACACACACACACACACACACACACACACACACA